ATAAGAGAAGGGCATAGAGGGAGGTTTGCTCTTTCCTCATGAGGGGAGGATGAATGCTGAGTTGGGGTCTGGTTTGCCTCCTGATGCACACAGACACTCACACACATATATGTTTTCATTCCTCGTGGGGACTTTACATTGACTCACATTCATTTCCTGGAGACTTTTCTTCACATTAATCATAACCGCTAACAGCCTAGCCCTAACCTTAACTTAACCCTAACCGTAACCCTGAAATTCAATTATATACATGGTGGGGTCAGAAATGAGACCCACGAGGAAGGCCGAGTCCCCATACTGTGAGTGTGTAAACAGGTTCAGGTCCCCACAGTGCGAGTAGCACAAGGCGCACACCAGTACTGTGTTTACAAAGGAGATTAGAGCCGTTCTGCTCTGTACCTCAGTGTAGCAGAAATGCTTCAGAGCCATATGTGTAAATGAAGAAGGATGTACATTGATGTAGTGTATGCTGTATACGTGTTGTAACATTTATAACTACTGAGATTAAGGCTGTAGTGCTTTGTCATGTAACTCTCAAATTCATGTTTGGTTGTGCCATTCAGGATCACACTCCTTTCAAATTGCCCGTCACATCACCAGTTCTGTCTTGGCTCAATGTAGTGGAGCGGACAGCCTCTGCTGAGCTGTTTCTTATAATTATAACAACAGAGACAGAAGCAGATGGAAAATCACAATATCAACTAGCATGTTTTTCACTCTATCCGTAAATCTTTGGCTTTCATGACTCAGTGGGAGGACATTCATCTCCAGTGTGTTTGATCACAAATTGGTATTAGTTACTCAGTGTTTGGTTTTTGCCTTTGCTCTAAAGATGTGAAGGTCAGATGCATCACAGTTGCTAAACTTCTCAGAGTTCTCCCTTTCGAGCATCCAGTATGTGAGCTGACTTTGACCTATTATTATTCACATATTTGATTAAACAAAACTATTAACACTCATTTTATTTACATATTCTGCAGTTTCACGTGCACTCTCTGGCTTTTAAAAATGCTTAAAATCACATATTTATCGATAAAACTCACTTTAAGATGAAGGGGAAATGACCATCTCATCTGCCACGCTAAACACAGATTTACACTTGATTGTATGAATACACACACAGTGGTGTACCACAGGTGTGAGGCAGAAGAGTGTAACGCACGTTCTCATGTTTCAACTGAATATTTAACCATCTGAGCCAACACCTCTCACTCACCAACACGCAGGGGATAGTGTTACATTCACTGCAAGTCATGGAGTCTACAAAAGGCCTATGTCCCTTAGCGTTGTACCCAAGTTAACGGAAGATCAAATGTGATTACATCGTGTGCATGCTCAGCAGGAGAAATGGATGGTTGTATTTCACTGTTGTCACTGTTGCCTACAAGTATGTAAAAAGCTACAACTGCTGCAAAATTCAAAAACTGGGTTGGTTAGGTGACAGACCAGTTGACGATGATCTGTTCCATGTTGCCTCTGCTTTGTGTTGCAGCCAGTCTGATGACAGAACAACACTGACTGGGCCGAAGGGCCTGTTTCTTGAATCAATCACAAGAGTACTTATTTACACTATTTTAATATAGCTGAACTTTACTGCCAAAACCCCAAACCTGGCCTCATTTTGTATTTTTTTTTTTTTAGAATTTCGGATTAAAAGATTACTTTAATCAACTGTGAAAATAAGAAGATAACAGATCTTAGAGCTTCTCTCAATCTTACAAACAGGCCGAGACAGTGTCGGTATTGTTTTGTCGTCATACGTCTTGAATTGGCAGCTGTACTGTTTTCATCTGTGATGTCTTTTCTTTATTCTTCCTTGGTTCTTTTTACAATTGATTCTTAGTACAGCCTGAGACATTCTGACAGATTCCAGGTCAGTGGCACAAAGAGCTTCTTGTGGTTTGAGAAATCATCCATAAAGACCTCAGACACGTTTGATATAACGTAATTATGTTTAGATTATAATTTGTGTCTTTTCCCACACCACCTGCCAGAGTAGAGGTAGACAAGGCTCTGCCTGCAAATCCCTCCTCTGGTAAACAAGTTGGTCATGGATTTTAAATGAATGAACAATAGTGAACTTCTTCCAGGCACCGAGATGCAAAAGAAGCTGTGTTTTCTTCTGAAAGTCTGAGAGGTTGACTTTTAATGGAAACGTACACACATTGGTTTGGAACTCATTGGAGAAATGAATTTCACATGCAGTCTTTACCCTCACTAATTACTACAGAAAGCCTTTGAGTCGGTTACTAAACAAAAATATCCTGATGGAAAATATCCATATAAACCTTTCGTCTTATTTTAAAATAGTCATTTTGTTCCTTTCACAGCACTTTCTGTCAGATGCACGTGAGACAGATGAAATGTGGCTATGATTTCTGTTGACAGAAAGATTAAGATTTATGCCTCAAAACTGACACAGTCAATGTGAATGAAATGTATTTGTGAAAAAAGTTCAAGTGAATCATGATTTTTCCAGAAACAGTGGCCTGGCTTCTCTGGATAACCAACAGACCTCAGTGAAGATGGTTTTCATTCAAACTAACATTTCATAAAAATAATTTAGTCCCAATAAAAATACCACATTCACGTGTATGGATTTTCCAGAGTGACCAAGATATTGCTTCTTGAAATAGGTGTTACAAATAGGTGTTAATAAGTGAGGGCTTTTTTTGTGTGTGAATTTCAATGCGGTGCACATCATGAGAAAAATCCTATTCAGCTTTATTTTACTGAGAAGGAATCTCATATTTGAAAATCTTGGCACATAAATTCAGATTTATCTGCATGGATAGACACCACCATAAGTAAGACAGACAATATTTTATTCTGTAATTTGGGTGAACCAACCTTCTAAAGTTCTTATTGTAACATCAGCATGTCAACAGTTCTTCCAGTATTTAGCACCTGTTTGGAATGGAACACCATCCCCTGAACTACTAACACTTGAGTTGTATTACACTCCAGTGGAACATTATCCTTCATTACAAGCTCTTCTAACACCATGAACAAAAGAGGAAAAGACTCATCTGTCTAATGATAGTATCCTCTGACTGCCAGTTTGCGCTAATGATTTCCTCCGTTGTCCACAGTTAAACCTGGCGTGTACAGTATATTTAGGTACATTATGTGTTGTGTATGTGCACTGTGTAATTTGCCACTGTCCTGGTTAATTCAGGAAAATGTTTAATTGAGCTCATAGAAGCCAATAGACCACATTTTGGTGAGGGTGGACTGTAGTTAATGTGTTTAAAATGATTAATGCATTAGATATTTTGACTCTGGTTCTGTAGTGCATCTGGTTTGTCTGTCAATCAGAAACTAAAATAATGAGTAGATGCTGTAGAAGTAATGGCTATGGAAAGTGTTGATTCACTCTATATACTGCATGTCTAAGATGAAAAGAAAAGAAGTTCAAATTCAAATGCCCCTTGGCTTTGATTTTAACTTGAATTCCTTTTTGTTTTGGTAAAATAGTAACATTATGAGTAGCCTGTTTAGTATCAGAGTTACTGACTGCAGATTTTCTCAGCCCCAATGTTACCATGGTGATATGTTCAACATTCAGTGGATCAAAATTTCAAGCACAGAAACATAAACGTCTTTGTGAATTCAAGTTTCTTAGCAATGCCCCTAAAAGCAGAACTGTCAAGTTAAACACAGCTGCCAGTGAATCCCCTGCTATAAAAGTATTTATCAGCTGCTCTGAGCATGACTGGTGTGTGATCTCTCCTTGTAAAATGTCTCACAGAAAGAAAAAAAAACCAGGACTTGGGAAGCCCAGTTTGGACTTGTAGTTGCTGTTGAACCAGTCTGTACTGATTCACAGCTCCCAAGACAGACAGAGGAAGGGCTGTGAAATATGAGAGAGTAGGGGACAGCTCGGATATCGACCACACATCAGTTAAGCGAGGCCCATCTTCTCATGTTCTCCCAAATCCTCCTCTTTGGATATTTGCCGCCTTTTCATCGTACTGTCTTTTTATTGTCTCCCTCCCTCTTCCGACATATACTTTAGCTTTTCATGTGAATCCTCATTCTTCCATATCATCGCCTTCCTTTTATTGTTATACTCTAGGTGCCGTACTGGACTATATGGATACTGTTCTCTCTTGTGTTTAATTATTGTTATTTGATAACATCATACTTCTTTTATGTTTTCTCTCATTTCTTAAAGGACTGGAGTTCAGCTCTAATGCTCTGCTGCTCAGGTGTTCCTCTTCCTGTTTCACATAAAACCGAGTTCTACTACCATTCACTTTCAAAGTCCAGTCTTCCCGCCGACATGTTTTAGATCACTGTCCCATTTACTTAATAGCATTATGGAGTCACATTGGAAACCCTTTTTTTTCTGAGCATATGGTAACAGTTAAAAAAGTAGACAGATATATAACTGAATAGTGTTTTCTCTTCCAAACTCACCTACAAAGGACATTGATTTAGAGAATACACTAGACTGCGTAAGAATGCATTTATTAGCAATGAAATGAGACACTTTAAAAGTGAATACTGTATAAAAATAAAGTGAGCAAATCTTATTTCATTAACACAGCAACTCATCTGAGGACGTGGAACTAGCAGGGAATAATCATCTATTCTTCTCTTCATAAGAATGAAACATTTTGATAGAACCTTTCTCACCTCATTAATGAAATGTGACACTAGAATTGTGGAACATTGTAAACATTAAGGTTTTGAGGAAAGTTGTCCCTTAAAGAAAAACTTTCTCTGTGTAGCTTTTCCACCACTAGTAGCGCTGTAAAGGAACGTTTGCAGAGTGAGTTCCTCGTGTTCCTCGCGTATTTGTTTACAAGACAAACTCTACAGAGTGACATTTAAATGTAAGATCCTGGTGATTATTTTCCAAAGTAAAGCACTCAGTCTTTTACTGCTTTTATATGGAAATACATAATAAAATTATTTAAAACCTTTGGCAGACTGAAATATAACATAATAAATAACATTTATTCCAAAATAAATATAAATAAGTTAAAATATTCTACATTTCATAAATACATTTCATATGTGTATAACTTTTTCCCCATGTAACATACAGTATGTGGTGTACAGGAGCCCTCATGAGTCTGATTTCAGTTTTTTAAACCGAGTTCCATGGAAACATTTCAAATCACACCGAATACATTTATCATCTATGGTGACTGCGGAGAAGAAGGGGATCAGGAGGAGTCATTGCTTCGATGCCGCCCCTCCTCTTATGGACTCAAGTCGTACAGGGTCACAGGTCATGCCGCAGTTTCCTCACAATGTTAAAAATCTGAAGAAAAAACACCCAACGTCAAACTTCAAAGTGGGAGTGACACTAGCGCACACTTCCTACACACAACCACATTTCCTGGCAGAGTGCTTCTTCACGGTGTGGTAAATGAGGCTGTCATCCAGAAATGAGAGATCACTGTCAAACGCTATCGGCCGACAGCAAACCTGAGGTGGTATGTCTCCAGGGGGAAGCCTCCTGCTCTGAGTGAGGCTGTAAAGGATTTTGTCATAGTTGGTCTCAGACCTCCTGCATGGTCCCGAGCAGTACCTGAATATCATTTCCTCACTGGAGCGGTAGCCAAGACCGAGGTCCGACACATTGAGGTGAATTTGTTTAAGCACGCAGCCCTGTCCTCGTCCACTGCTGCCGTCACCCCCTCTTGTCTTCCTGGCTGTCTTACCCGCCCTAGCACCTCCTCTTTCTCCTTTACCACTCTGCCGGCTCAAAAACATCTTCTCCCTTTTGTTTCGAGTCCTGCTGCTCAAGTTTTCTTTGGAGGGAGAGGAAGTGACGGAGGAAGAGGTAGATGAAGACGCGGTGAATGAGGAGGAGCGACGTACTCTGCTGATAGTCACTTTGATGAAGTCCACCACATCATCGAACTCATTCAGGAGGGGCTCCTCCATGAAGTCTGAAACACATTAAGAGAAATGGCACTCGTACAAGGATGTATTATTTTGGGCAGCACATACTGTTTTAGTTTATGATTCATTTATTGAAAAGTTGCTATGTTGTTTCAAGTACACATGCACATGCATATTTTTGTTTTGTTTTGTTTCTGTAGAGGATTTCCATTTGAAAAGATTCATCCAAGTTAGGAATGGATCCGATTCTAACCACATGGTTTCATGTTTGAGTAAAGACACAGCAGCCAATATGTAGCTTTGTGACACACAGACCTACAACTACAGCTAAAATAATTCATCAATTTGTGGACAGAAAATTAATTGTTAAGTCACTTACCAAATATTCATTGGTTCTAGCCTCTCAGTTACAAGGATTTCCCACCTTTGTCTTTTGTGGCAGTAAACTGAGTATAATTAGAGAGTCACTCATACATCCTGCATTTTAAGAAATTGAGTTTTTTCATCTACATTATACATTTGCATTTTATTAACAACCATCATTTAATTGTGTCAAAAAATAATGAGCATGTTTTAGGTGTCTCTTGTATATTATGGGAAAGCTCTAAATACTGTAATAACATCAAGAAGCACTAGCTCTGATTGGGGTAGGCCTAATGGTAAAAGGTTAAAGGGCAGCATGAAACATCATTGCAAATGTTTCAACAATTGGATAGGTCCATTTAAATGTGCTGTTTAGTATTAGATCATTTTTTTTGCTAAGTTAAATTGTCAATAGAGTGGTCATTTTCACATTGTTCTGGTCTTTATGTTTTTGTTGACAGGAAACAATATAATTTGTTTAAGGAATGCAAAGAAATCGAGACACAGAAAACCTAATGAATACCAATGACTTCATAGATTTTAGCACTTTTGGCACTCCATACACACAGGCTCACATTTTTCTCCAGCCAGCGCGTCTTCCCAGCCTGCTGTATCCGCCTCAGCGCGGCTTTTGCCCGGGGAAGTGACAGACTGGTGCATCGGAACCGGCGGAAGCTCCAGGGGACTCTCGGCGGCGCGTCCTCGCCTCTTGGTGGACGTGGACTGCTGTCGACTCCGGAACAGCGGGCTGGCGTGCACGGCACTCAGCAGTATCAAACAAGTGGTCATGCTATCCCATAACTTCATTGTCCACATCAGTCCGAAGAACATGGCGCGACGCAAAATCAACAGGTATCATCTGATAAACTGCATATTGAAGAGGTTTGGCAGTTTGAGGGGAAGAGACAGGGCGTAGCTCGTGTTCCTGCCACTGAAATTGGTGAAGATCAGTATATTGTCTACCTACTATCAACTGCACGCTATCAGTCATGCCAGCTGTCAGACGTTATGCAGCGTGGCGCAACATTGAATACGCACAAAGCCAAAGACAGAAGCGCAGAATGCGAAGGCAAGACTTCTCTCTGAAGTTGCTTGTTAACATAATGATAAAACGGCGCTGGGATGACAAAAAAAAAATAAATTGCTCCCAGATATCAGACCTTCACTCGCCTTTTCAATCAATGCGCATGGTTCCTTGCACGTAATGCAGCAACACTGCTGACTCCTCTTCTTCCCCACTCAACATCAATCCGTAAGGACAAGCGAGAGGTGTAACAGGAGAGATGGGGAGTGGTCGTGACGTCTCACGGTCCACGCTGTGTTTCTTCCAGTCTCCACCCATGCAGATTAGGCCTGCACAGATGGATGACATGGAGATCACATTCATGACTGAACTTGAGGTCCAGAGTTGCTGAGAGCAGAGCAGTTATGTTATGAAAGAGGCTCAGTCTCTGTACTCAGATGGCTGAGAGTGTAATAAGTTTCCCTTTCCACTAGCAATACACCAGATTTCCCATAATTCTTTTCTTGTTTGCAGTGATGTAAGATGGAAAATGTGTTTCTAATCAGCCAAAGCAAACAGACTGAAAAGATTGTATTGCTACCTACAACCTCAGTGTGCTTGAAATCCTATTGTTTTGATGAGCAGATGACATTTAACATCAAGGGCTCTGAGCCAATATCCATTACAGCTTAACTTCATCCAGTATTGTACATCTGTTCCATCCTATAGAAAGAAAGTATTTGCTGTGGCTATGACTAAGCAAAGACTGTAAATCTCTACATTCAATAGGTCAATACGGTTATCCTTTTTCTTTAAGATGCATGTCAAGAACCACAGGAGCTTTTTAAAGATCTCTTAAATTGTGCTGAAGTTAGTGGAACTGACTCCTGCATCATGTAAAGATTTTATGATTTTTGTAATAATAAATCAGCAATGATTTGTAATAATTGCATGTTTGAGATTTGGAAATAATGGGTCGGTGGATTAAATTCACAATATGATATAATTTCGCTGACACAACAGTTTACTACATGTGATTTGAGAGTGGAGCTTGTAAACAAGATCAGCAATTGCAAACTGCATTTGGAACCTTTAAACTAGTGTCTGTAAGAAAGGCAGGACTTTACTTTGATTAAAGCTGCAGATTAAATCTTTCTCTTATCACGTTGCGGCCTCACAACGTGTCCGCCTCCTCCATACTTCAGTAAAAGAATGTGAAGGAGACAAATTCCATTTGTTTACCTATTCGCTGTGTCATTATTTGTTGTTATTCATCTCATAATTTTTATTAAAAAACATAACAAGGCAGAGATATGCATGGGTGAAACTAATGATCGAAACCAGAACAAAGACAAGTGAAAGTGATCAGGGGAGTTTTATGTGCTTGTGCCGAGTGCTCTCCTTCCAATAATAGTTAAAAGTTGTTTATTTCCTTTTAGTCTGTACCACATCAAAACTAACTGCACACAGCTGTTATGCTTTAAGACTTTGTTTAGGGTAAGCAGAACAAATAGTTTACCACATGATTGTTTTTGATTTAAAGTCCAGATGGATTAAGACTGTCTCAAATTAAATCGCATCACCACTATCTTTATTTTCTCTCTAGGTTTGGAGTGGTTATTGTGGATAAAATGCCCAACTGCTCTGGTGCACACAAATTTTCTTCCAGCAGAATCTTTCCATTTCCTCCAGTTTGGTTTAACTATGTTTCAGTGTGTGCCCACATGTTAGCCACATTGTATTATAATCACTTGACTTCACTGAAAAGGCAAAAGCCATTTGAACATTCAAGCATGCTGTAACTGTAAAGTCATACAGAATAATGCCTGTGCTTTTACAAATTAGTCAAATAACTCAGAAGTGGCTTCCTTATCCACTGAATTGTTTGATAAAGTGTGTGGAAATATGTCAACCTCATCCAATTACACCATTGCCAAGCAGCAAATAAACCAAACAGACGTCCATTTTTCTTTTTGCAAGGCACGAGGGCTAATCTGGGGCTGGTCTGCAATTTAATCTGTCAGCCATTTTTGGGGCTCGGTTTGACAGTTTGTAACAGGCTAATTGCACAGGCCATTTTACCTGTCATTATCGGCCACTGTGAAACTGCAGCCCCAGAATGGCTCGAGGGTGGAAGGTAGCAGCTGACAGCCAGAATAGATGGGGCATGGTTGCCGATATACTGTAGTAATTAGCAGAAAAATCGTGACTTTATTCACAGGCAGGCAGAGCGGGGAGATTGGCAGTACTGTGTACTATAGTCCTGTTTTCATTGGTTTGGTTGAATGTTCTATGTGAAACTTGTTTTTTTGCCATGCTAGAGGCACATAGTTCAAGGGATGGCAATACTGGTCAGTTGGTTGTTCCAGACTGACTCAGTAGCTGCTTGATGGTGCCCAGAGGATGCTGTCATCCCCAGTGACTTTGTTGACCGCGTTGGTGACCGCTTTTCTTCTAGGGTCATCATCAAGTTAACATTTGAATTTGTCATGACATTCCCATCAGTGTCAGCTTTTTGTACTTCATGCTAATTAGCAAATGTTAGCACGCTAACATGTTACAGTCAGATGGTGAACACGACAAACATTCTTCTTAATAAACATCAGATTTTTAGCATTGTTAATGTAAGAATGTTAACATGTCCACTTTAGCTATAGGCTCAAAACTCTGCTGTGTCTAAGTTCAGTCTCACAGAGGCACTAACATTACTGCAGACTCTAATTTTATTCATTCCAGATGGATGTACAATAAAAGGTCAGCCAGTGAATTTCCCCAGTAACGGTCTGGGTTAAGGCTCAAGAGAAGAGGAAGCTGTTCACATTTAATAAGCCCCAAAGGTCAGCTTGAACCATGGCGAGACATCGTTCTCCTTAGATTCACTTGATTTAGTATGTGGATATTAACATTTATGAGAAGTTACTAGAAAAAAAAAAAGAAATTAGCCAACAAGAACTGTCCAGTTGTTAGCAAATCAGTTGTTTCTGATCCTGATATTGCATGACCACTTGTTTGATACCAATTCAGTCAGTTGAGCTTAAGAAAGTTCCTTTGCTGATAACTGCTCATGGATTTGGGTGGTGTTTTAGGGATCACTGAATATGGTAAAAATCACCTCTTTGGTGAGCCATAGTGCTTAGACAGTAATCCACACCATATGAACACCGGTGCTGCTGGAGCCTCAGGGTGAGAGCGATCAGACTACAGGAGCTGTGAGTGTGGATACCGTCTGCTGAGCTGACTCAGAAATGTGGGGGTCAGTAGCAGTTATGATGTTTAAACAAATAAACAACTTACTCTACATTTGTCTTCAATTTTGTAATTTTAAGTTAGTGTGACATTATCTTCCACTGGGCTGTGTGAAACAAATGTTCATTTGAAGAAATAAAGGCAAATAACATTACATGCAGCCATTTCCAGGCAAAATAGAAACTGGGTTGAAAACACTGAGCCCAGATTTGTTGATTCTTCACATACATGTGCATGCATAGACATAAAATGCTGCCACTAGTGGACACTATAAGACGTAGCAATAATATTTTCTTCAGCAAAACAACCTTCCATACCCTGTTTTTAAAAGTACACACATGTAATTGTATGTAGTGCACAAAAATGAGTGAATGAATGTTAATGTGATATGATGTTTTGTGTGTGTAGGGTGGTAATAAAACAAGCTATCTTCATCATGTTAACATGTAACTGAGATAAACATTTTGGAGGTAGTACAACAGGTGGAGGTCTTGTATGCAAATAAAATTCATTTATCTTGATATATTCATGATCCTTGTGTGGTGAGAAAGAACCAATTAGTTTTATTATTATCTAACAAAATGACTCTGTGGTGGTGGGGTGTTTAAGGGGTGGGCAGGAGGGGGAATACAGGAGGCTGGTGGATGAGTTTGTGGAGTGGTCTGGACAGAATCATTTGCTGCTTAACCTGGACAAGACCAAAGAGATGGTAATTGACTTCAGGAGGAAGGGAACTGCTCCACAGCCCCTCTCCATTTTGGGGAGGGATGTGGAGATGGTGCAGGAGTACAAATACTTGGGTGTGACTATCGACAACTGTCTGAACTGGAAAACAAACAGCACATC